GTGTTACATCAAAATTACTGCATCTCATCCCCTTTTTCGATCCCCTACCCCCCGTTCCCCCTCCTCCCCTTCTTCTTCTCCTCTATCAGATGATACTAAACGATGGCAAGTAGAGCCGATGCGAGCATATCATTAACAATAATCTCTGAATATTATTTCATAATTTAGTGTAACAAACGTCAGCTTCTTTTATCTGTGGCAAGGAGATTTTTTCTGACCTTCTCGAACTTTAATTCAAATTTAAAATTTAAATTTATTACTTGAATTTTGAATTTAAACCCATTACTTTAAATCTGGATCCAAATTGATATCAATAACACTAATCCCTGAATATTATTTCACAATTCAGCGCCATAACTGTTAATTTCTTTTTATCTGTGGCAAGGAGATTTGTTTTAGCCTTCTCGAACTTGAACTTGAATTCAAATTTCGAAGTTCAATTCATTACTCGAATTTGAATTTAAATTCATTAATCGAATTTGAATTCAAATTTGTTTCAAATTCTTGTACTCAGCACTGTTCAAGGCATTTTAAAAAAGAAGAAAAAAAAAGCACTAAATGAGTTTAGCATTGATTTTTTTTCGTTAACTGAGCGCCATAACCTTTCTCTCCCCGCTTCCCTCCCTCCTCCCCCCTGTTTTTGTGTTTGGACGCAATCCTCAGAAGAGTGGCTCTGGGAGGCAATCATCATAACGCAAATACAGCTGAGCATATATGGATTCTAAGCAATGAACTGATGATGATGATGATGAAGCGCACACCTGTCAAAAATCAGACCCTTAAATTTCGATTTCAATTCCTCGCAATCTGTCACTGTATCCAGCAAATCCCATAGTGCACAAAACGTTGAGCACCCATTCATGCTGAACATATGGCAATAGATATACGGTGCTGTGGATGTTTCCAGGATTTTTTCGTAAATATCCAATGCGAATTGTCGATAGGATGCGAATGAGCGCACTCGCTGGATGTCAGCTGTGAAACGAACAACTGTGAAACTGTAAAGAACCGTTATCCAGAAGCAGATCGATGATGTCATTTAATCACCCAACAGGAAAACAGGCAAAAAAAAAATACTTCTCACACTCTTTTTTCCAATTTCCTTCGAGTTTTTAACAGAACCTGGCAACATAACTAAATAACTGATGGAGCAGTTTCTGAACCCTAACCCTTTTTATCGTAACTACGGCTTGCGTGAACATAATTTGGAACGCGGTAAAATCGGGAGTCCGCAGGACTGTAAAAACTACGAAAAGCATGATAGATCAAAAAGTTAAAAACTCTCCTCTTATCCGGCCTAATTGAGAAGCGGAGGCATTCGGAAAGTAGCCCAAATTGCAGCAAATTTTGGTTCAACCTACCAACGACCGCAAAAAAATCTTTTGTCAATTACCCCACTTCGGCCGCCTCACTTAGACCGTCCACTTCTGATTCAGCCTTGCAATGGCC